TTTTAAAAAATTATTACAAAAAGATCATGTATTTTGTTTTGTGGTGTAGGCTCTTGGTGACGATTCAGAATGGTCTATAGGACATACGGTGTCGAAATCCCTCATGGCAATGAACGTGAGTTAACCTGGTTCTTGTGAAGGTTGCCAAGCTGATTGAACTTTTGGAAGGTACATGAAACTTTAAAAGAACACATACAAAAACACAGGTTTAATCATCTGTTTTAAGTTTTGATTGTTTTTGTTTTTTCTTTCTTAGGTGCTCGCGTTTTATTGTTTCATCTTGCGATGCAACAGATTTCATTTGCTGGTTATGAAGATCTAGATTATAGTCATTAACCGAACCAGTTCTCGGAGTCAGATATTAGCGTTTTATATATTTTTAAAAATTATTACAAAAAGATCATGTATTCTGTTTTGTGGTGTAGGCTTTTGGTGACAATTCAGAATGGTCTATAGGACATACGGTGTCGAAATCCCTCATGGCAATGAACGTGAGTTCACCTGGTTCTTGTGAAGGTTGCCAAGCTGATTGAACTTTTGGAAGGTACATGAAACTTTAAAAGAACACATACAAAAACACAGTTTTAATTATCTGATATGGATTATTACTTGATCTGTTGAATCCTAAATTTATAACAGTTCAAAAGAAGCTTCGGTGAACGAGGTGCAGAACATGGTGGTCTGTGTTTTATCCAAGACCCCACCTGTCGCTGCCGAGAACAAAAGAAAACAAGCTAACAAAGAGTTTCGTTCCAGCAAAAATGTTAGTCCACTTGGCATATTCTTACCCTCAAAGTTAGTTCTATTGATAATAATGATGATACATGAACAAAATTACTATTTTTATTCAAACATATCACTTTATTTGAATGGGCTTTGTGTGTGTTTTGTCACTTATGTCCAGTGTTGGGATATTTACTGATATTGGTTTCTGGTTCTTTTATTTTACTTATGGGCTAAGACAGGAGAAAAAAGGTAATTATTTGTACTTTGATCTTTTGTACGTTTCTCCGACTGAAATCTTTTTCGTGTGGAGTGCTTTCATCTCATGTGTTTCCGGTTGAGTTTGAACTGCTAATTATAAAATGTTGTTTTTGGATCAGAGTAAAGCTTCTCTTGCTTAAGTTTCACAAAAGATGTAAAATTGTTTAAGTAGCTAAAACTCTAAGTTTTCTTAAGTTTGTATGTTGGAAGGATTCAATTCCATCTAATTTTGTATTTTCTTTATTTTTTAAAATTATTTAATAGGGTAATAAATAAATATTCTAGCACAAAAATGTGAAAGAAATCGATGATAAATTATATACAAAAATCTGCAAATCTTGGGACCGTGAAAATGTCACAACCCTTTTGTGGAGACTCCTTTTCACTTAAAGTCTTATTTTGATATTTGTTATAATTTTTGATATTTTTGTTATTAGCATAATTAAGAAATTTTGAGAATTTCTTTTTTGGTATATATGTTTAAGCTCTTTTTTAAAGTTGATTACCCAAAAACAGTTTTGATTGTTCGAAAGGAGCAAGCTACAAAAGTTAATGCAGCTTTCTTATCTAACAATAAATATAACACACTTTTAAGGAGAGTTTTAAGTTTGAAATGTGTATTTATCTTTTTTCTCAGCCTCAAAAGATATAGAGTCATAAAAAATATGAAGAGTGCGTAATATGAAAAAAAATCATAAGGAGAAGAAGAATAAACCGTAAAAACAAAAAAGAAGAAGAAGACGAAGAAGACGAATGTGTTAAATAATAAAAAAAGATGTAATGATAAATTTAAATAAGAAATATGGGAAGAAGAAAAAAATGAAGAATAAGACATGAAAAAAAAAAACAAGAAAAAATATGGACAAAAGAAGAATAAAGAAAAAACGATGAAGAAGAAAGAAAAAAAATAACAAAGAGGAAAAAATAGGAAACGAAAAACTAGAATTTATTTTAATTAAATTAATTTGTGGATTATTCAGTTATAAAGTATTTTTTTAAGTAATTAATTTCTAATTTTGTTTACTTTTTTAGTTAACTTTATTTTGATTTTTTATGTCTTAAATAGTTTTTTTAATTATTTTTAATTTATGGCATAAATTTTTATTTTTGTTTTTAAAACTTTTTGGCTCGTGCAAGTCGCGGGCTAAATACCTAGTTAGAATAAAAAAATGATAATTTGCATGCAAATCTATATTACTCTTCATACTGAATAAAAAATGGATTGCATCATTTTTGGACATGTTCACCCAATTCTACATTTCTTTTATATGTTCTAATTATTTTATTGATTTATATTTATGTTTTTATTGATCTGCATAATCTGTTTGATTTGCATTGATTTTGCTTTATTTGCATGATCTGCATTATCTGCATTATTCCATATCTGTTCGCCAAAATAGTAACAAAGTTATCTAGCACAAATTCTTTATATAAAATACAAATAAAAAAAAAGAAGGTTACAAGGCCATACAATGAAATAAAATAAAACAAAAAAGAAAAATAAAGACCCAGCCAAAATTTCAAATGGGCCCGATAAAAAAAAACAGCTACAGAGAATTTTTATCAAAAGCCCAACAAAACAAGGAGACAGAAAACATAATCTCACAGCCGCCGGAGTCCAAGCTCGCCGTAAAAGAGCCACCGCAAGAGCAAAACCAGAAACTGGAGGAAAGAACCGAAGTGGGAGAAAAGAGGAAACACGCCTCCGGGATCCTCGCTGAAACGACAGCCGGAGAAACTCACCGGCGGAAGATTAAAAATGGGATTTGGAGAGAAGAGCGCCGATTCGGAACAAGCTCTACCAAAGCGAGAGTGGAAGGAGAGACCATACCACGCCTCTCACAGGGAAGAGTCTTCCCTTGCTATGTATCTCCAGCGGCCTACTTAATCCCATCTGGAGATTCTATAAAACGGTTCATATGAGAGTTTAATAATCCATCTTTATCTGAAACTAGATCATCAGTTTACAATAAACAATACACGAGCAATGACGAGCTCAATGACTTAGATACGTCTATCAGCTCAATGATCTCTGCTCATGGGACAACCATTTCATCATAGTGGATGTGAAATGGATACAGACACAAAAAGACTCTAAGATATCAGCTCCTTAGAAAAATATGGAAATAAGATGGATTACAATGACTCTTCTACTTTTTGTCTCATATTTTTTTATGAAAAACACTTCTAAACTTTCTTGTTTATGTTAAAAAATTTCAAGAAGATGAGCAAATAGGTAATGATCTTTCCTGTTAAGAAACCTGAGGAATCATACTGATTCATCAAAGTTTTTAGCTTTGATTGCTTCTATAGTCAAAATTTCAGGTCAAAAGGACGAATTTTCTCCTTGGAAATTTCATATAGTTTTATTAGTTTACAACCTAAACCTAAAATTAAACCACTTAAACCTGATATAAGCCTGAATTAGAACCCTCCTCACCCCCCCCCCCTCCCCCCTCAAGTTTGAAAACTCTTGTCGAATCGTCTCTCCTTCTGCCATGGAATTATATTGTTTTTTTTTGGATAGAGAATCGAATAATGATTTTAGGATTTATATACTCTTCTTTTTTTGTTTACACGCTCTATTTCATATTAAAACTGCGAGAAAATGAAAAATCAATAAAATAAATTTTGTTTGTTGTTTAAGAGTTTAGACACTTTTGCATTAGTGTGTTGTTGATTACACTTTCGACATTTATGTTGTAGGACGGAATAAAACCATAAATGAAAATCTGCGATATTAAACTCGTATAAACGATGGCAGCCACTAAGCAATGAAACGATATCAAACATGAAGCACATAAAATTGATTGAAAAAAACAAATTATCAAATAGAAAAACGTGGAGTCGAAATTTATTCTCTTTCCAATTGAATCTTCATATTTCATTAATTTTAAGTTCGATTTTGACATATGAATATATATCACGTTTATAGTATTCAAATGTGAAGTTTTAACACATTTAAAATCTAAGTCATTCCGGTAAAAAGCTGGTTCATCCAGTGGTTCCAACAATCTTTCACATGAATATAACTAAATCAGTTGAACCAAAAAAAAAGAATAGAAATGTAACTGAACATATAAAGATTCGACAGATCCTACTAGCTAAACTTAAGTGACTAGAAAGAGAGACTTTTCGGACGTAAATATTATTTTTCAATTTTGAACAACTCATTGTTTAACATACAATATGTCATGTATACTCAACCATGAGATGAACACAATTTTTTAACCACATGAGCTTTGATGTAAACCGACATAACAACTCTAAGCTTTATTATGGTAAAACTAAGTTTTCTTTGTGTCCATATTGACCTTGAACATGCCTTATCATTCATAAGTAAATTTGGAGAATATAGCCTTATAACTTCTCGTCGTCTGCATCTCAATCACCAATCAAAGACTCATATACAACAACGAAAACTGCACAAGGATTAAAATAACAAACCGGATCATCTTCATCTTAAACTCAAACCATCTACGCCAAAACCTTTGAAAGTGTGAGGCTGTGAGCGTCTTTCCTTCTTCTTGCCAGCTCAACACGAACTCAAAATCTGCAATTAACTTCTTCTGAACATCTTCTTCTCTTAACTCTTACACAGTTATACTCTTCTTCTTGCTTCTTCTTCACCAAGTAGACCTTATGGAAGCATCCTAGAGTTTTTAAAATGATCTTGTGTAGGTTTTAGCTTGGTTATTTTTAGTTTGTGTATAGTGATGGTTCGTATCAATCATATATCGTCTGTTTACCCTTTTTTCTTTGGATCTTTTTCAGAAATCAGTCACATTTCATACGTTTTTCATCGAAGTTACCCAGAATTCTTGTGCTACGATTTTGCCGCAACTTGTTCCATCTAATCAGTAATCACTAGAGATTAGGCCAAGACATCACAACAGAGTCTATTCACTGAATCATCGAGAACAAAATTCTAAACTAATACCCAAAATAAACCAACTTTTTGAATCTTCGGATCAAACCCATCGTCTTAGTTCTCAGGATTTGAGCCACCATTAAAGAAAGATTCAGACTTTTTGACTGTCTTAACACATCACAAAAACAATCACATAAGCTACATATATAAATCTGTTTTCATCTATGTGTAATAATATATATAAACAGATAAGAATCCGGAAGCAAAGTAATTTCCTATTTCTCTTTCTGTGAAAACAAAAGTATATATATAATCAACTTACAAGATGGACACAGAGAGAGCGAAGAAATATACAAAACAAATCTTTGGAATCAGAAAGGGCGATTCGGTGGTCGAACCGAGATTTGAACCGGTACAGGTGTACCGGTTCCGGTACCACCGCAATTGCTACAAGACGCACGACCCGAACCGGAACATCTGCGACATCCAACGTCTCCATCAGACCAACGAGAGCAGAAGCAAGTGACTCGTCCCGTACCGTTACAGGTCGGGCAACGAGGGAACGGACCGGCCATGGGCTTTTGGTCCATGACCGATTTGACTAAAACCGCACCGGCTAAGACGCTAAGACCTGTGGCTAGCTGTGTGATTACGATCGGACCCATTGTGGTTGCAAAGAAGAAAAGGTTGCGAATTTTTGGGATAACGCAAAGTAGAATCGTGAAGAAATTGAAGAAGAAGAGAGAGAAGTCGAAAGGGAAGATTTTTTTTTTTTTGTTTACAGACAAAAGTGTGGTGTTATTTTATTTGATTTTCTTTCGGTTTATTCTGTATTTATTTTAAATGGAATTAGAGAAAAATATATAGTTTGAGATAAGGAATGGTTGAGAAATTGCACACGTGGGCTAGTGGGAGTGTAGTTTCTATGTGAGGAGATGAATGAGCCAGCCATGGTTTTTGACGCTGTTTCAGTTTTGGATTTGGGTCTCCATTGGGCCGTGTGAGAAAATATCTTCTACAAAAGCTTTTGTTACTTGTATTTTCCCATATTGTACAGTATTTGTTTTATTTTGTACCGTACTCGGTAAGAGCTTGACTGTTTTCATTACTCAGATTTCAGAAGATATTTCATCATTTCTTACAAATAAAACGGAGGGGTTTTAAAGTTGTTTGGAATGGATTTCGATGAAAAATTAGTCATCTGGACATCTCATAGACGTCATTTCTTTGGATTTTGATTTGCTGATTTTTTGTGACCGTGAAAGCTTTTGAAAACTTCAAAATCAATCTTTCTTATATAAAGTAGATTTATTTATATCAGAACATTTTTTTATCACTGATTCAATTTTATTGAATAGTTACTGAATAATACAATTAGAGTTTGTAATGGAGAAATTTTGGCACTGTGTGTGGTCTGTAATGGCACCTGAGCGGGTAAGAGTTTTCTTGTAGTTGGTGGGGAATCAAGCCATCATGTCGAATTCGGAAAGGCATCAAAGACATCTTTGTGATTCTTCTATATGCACAGTTTATAAGAGTGGTGAAGAAACTATCATTCATATCTTGTGTGACTGTCCGGCCATGGCTGGAGTTTGGAGGCGAGTTGTACCAACCAGTAAGGCTCTGAATTTCTTCTCGATGTCTCTCCTTACATGGGTGTATGACAATCTTGGGAGCACACTTGAGGGGTGGCCAACTTTGTTTGTTATGACTCTTTGGTGGGGGTGGAAATGGCGGTGTGGGAATGTGTTTGGTGTAAATGGCAAATATCGAGACAGAGTTAAGTTTGTTAAGGACTTAGCTAAGGAAGTTATAGCTGCTACCACGTCGGCGAGAGGTTCGCGAGTGATTCCGGCGAGGGAGGAGCGAATGATAGCTTGGAAACTGCCACGAGCTGGGTGGATGAAAGTGAATACGGATGGGGCGTCTCAAGGGAATCCGGGGAGAGCATCGGCTGGCGGTGTCCTTCGGGCTGAGGATGGAAGTTGGATATGCGGTTTTGCACTTAATATTGGCATATGCTCAGCACCGTTAGCAGAACTATGGGGCGTATACTATGGGCTATATATGGCGTGGGAGAGGAGGGTGACTCGGTTGGAGTTCGAGGTGGATTCGAAGGTGGTGTTGGGTTTTCTTACGACAGGGATTAGCGAGGCTCATCCGCTGTCTTTCCTGGTACGTTTGTGCCATGACTTTATATCAAAGGACTGGAATGTCCGGTTTTCTCATGTGTATAGGGAAGCTAATCGCCTTGCGGATGGATTAGCTAACTATGCGTTTTCTCTTCATTTAGGTTTTCATTCTTTTGATTCTACTCCTAATGTGGTTAATTCTATTTTTGTGGATGATGCGCGTGGAACTTCGTTTCCACGGCGAGTTTGTATTTAACTTTTGGCATAAATAAATTGAGGGACGCAATTGCTTCCCTCTTTCCCACAAAAAAAAAATACAATTAAAGTAAAAAATCTACAAAGAACAGATAAATTATAGAGCTAAAAGTTCCATGAATAATATATAAAAACACAGAAAACACATCATAAGATTTTTCTGATTTTATCATATTATATATATATATATATATATAAATAAATTGCATTAGCAGTAGCAATCAGAGGTAAGAACCAGTGGCAACTTTTGTGCAGGATGAATGTTGTGTTGCTTATCAATTGATGATATAATCTCTGTCTCGCGAAAGTAGCTCACGATAAAAACTCACCGGATTTTCTTTTTCTAATTTGCAATTGATTGTATAGATATACGACTACACGGAACCTATACGAAGGTGCGGGCAAAATTTATTGGGCTTGACGAGATACTATAGGAGATTCGTTAAAAATTATGGGAACAGTGACAAATGCACAAAAGGGAGCCCGACTCTGTGGCACGTAGCACACCAGCGAAGCAGCCTAACATCGCTGTAATTTTATTGGCAAGTTAGTCAACGTTTGTTCTTCTTGCTACTGCTTCTCCGCTTTCTTTTAGTCCCTTGGACGTAGTCGTTTCAGGCAGTAGCTGTTTAGTCCATGGTCCATTAGATGGGAGGTGTTATTTTAACTCACTAATCTAAAGAGTGCATATGGTCAAACACCTCCACGACATTACCATCTGGCTTTTTTATACAATTCATTTTATCTGAAAACTAGCCTACTGTTTCCCGTTTTACTTTCTACATTGTTTTCAGCAGACTAGTAACATGCGTTGAATTCTATCACAAACCATCTAGAGTAGTGTTTTACGTCGAAGTAATGATGTAACTTGGAACTCGATAATGTTTTTGACTGGGTTACTGGATTTTAAGAGTGATAGATTCGTCTTTGCGAGTATAATAATCTAGTGTACTCATATGCCAAAACCCACCTTTGTCATATCACCAGAAAAGATATACTAACCAATATACCTCATAACAACATTTATAGAACGTCGTAATTTAAAGGGAACCCGTTTTTGTTTTTTATTCTGTCTATTTTTTTTGGTTGGTTTCCAACAAAATCTCATAGTCTTTATATTAATTTGATATTCAGAGAAGTTTTGGAGAATACTATATTGACGTTACAATACTACCACATGTCTGTTTTATGTACGTAGGAAATTTGAATTCTTGCATGTGGACAAACGAGCTCAGAGCGTTTATCCCTAACAAAGGTTCTCTATTTGACGCGTGTGGAAAAACTATATGACAAAACGATTAGAGTGAGAAAATGCATCAGCTATGTGGTTATTCAAAATGTTGACTGGTATCCAACTTTTCAAAATTTCTACCATTTTGTAAGATGGGACTATGGGAGATGCATCTTCTATGAAGACCCGGGGAAGAAGATCAATCAAACCATGCCCGAGGAAGTCTCGGTGCTCCACACTAGGATTAACTAGAGTCTTATTCTCAAGTTCCACTCCTCTGCTCTTTAGCTCTTACTTGAATGCATGTTTGCTCTCACTATAAGTTATTTCTCCAACTTTCTCAAACTATATGATTCAACAAGTCATATATCCTTGCATTACTTTTAGAGAACAATCACTAGAATGACCTTATAATTAGGTCTGTTTGCAAAACTAACCTAGGCCCCTTACATTTTTGCTAGAATAACCTTACAAGCGTGGAAAAGACAGCCTTATCCCTCACAAATGAAAATTTGAATTTTTTTTTTTATGTATTATAAATTCGTAATTCACAAATATAGTAAATATACAGCGATAAATATACAATAAATTATAACTTTCTTCGACAGCAAATAAATGTAGAACAAAAAAAAACTTTTCAGTTTCCCGAAAAAAACTGTTCTCCGAAACCCTAGAGGCGATTCGCGGCCTTCTCTTCATCTTCGATTCGGTTGCAAACGACGACCTAGAAACCCAGTTTTCCGGTGTTTCCTCGTTCTCTGCTTCATCGGCGTTAGTCGTCGGCCTGGTCTGCGTCTCTGGTAAGTATTTTTTATGTCTTCGTTTTTCTGAAATCTTTGGTTTGTTTCGTTTTGTGATTCGCGTTCGTTCACCGTCGTCGGATGTGTCGGCGAGAAGAGGCACCGGCGAAGTCTTGTGCAAACTGTCTAACCCTAAATTTTGTTTTCCGGTGCAGGAATTTAGTTGGCCCGCGGTGGTTTCCTCAAAAACTTCGCTTCGTCGAAATTTCGTTTCCGGGGAGTTTTTTCGAAGGAATTTTACTGGCATATTTTGGTAGACTACTTAAAAGATAGTCTATTTCACTTATGTTATGGGTCAGGGA